TGCCTGTAGCTGGACTCATCATTGTTTGTGATGCATCCCACCACCGCTGTATCATCTGCAAACTTTACAATGTGACAGCCTGGATGGGTAGCTGCACAATCATATGTGAGCAGAGTAAACAGAAGGGGGCTCAACACACATCCCTGAGGAGAGCCAGTGCTGAGGGTTATGGTGGAGGAGGAGAGGTTGTGGATCCTCACTAACTGTGGTCTGTTTGTTAAAAAGTCTAGTACCCAGTTGCAGATGGAGGGGCTTAGTCCTAGTGTGGATAGTTTGTCCATCAGGGTTTGGGGGATCATGGTGTTGAAGGCGGATGTGAAGTCCACAAAGAGCATGCGGACGTAAGAGTTTTTCTGCTCCAGGTGGTTGAGCGCAGTGTGGACCACAGAGGAGATTGCATCCTCTGTTGATCGGTTCTCACGGTATGCGTACTGATGAGGGTCCTCGTTGATGTTGATGGTTGTTTTGATGTGAGTCATGACCAGTTTTTCGAAGCATTTAGCGACTATCGGGGTGAGGGCCACTGGCCGATAGTCATTCAGACCAGTCACTGTAGAGCTTTTTGGGACTGGGATGATGGTGGCAGTCTTCAGGCAGGTGGGAACTGTCTCCAGGGTAAGTGAGGTGTTAAAGATGTCTGCCAGCACCTCACAGAGCTGATCAGCACATTCCTTCAACACTTTTCCGGGGATGTTGTCTGGGCCAGTTGCTTTGTGCGGATTAATCCTCCTGAAGGTACTCCTTACTTCTGCTGAGGTCACGCTGAGATGCTCTTCATCCGGTGGCGAGGTGAGTCTGGTGCTGGGTGGTCTGTTCGGGTCTTCAAAGCGTTCATAGAACTTGTTGAGGGCATCAGGCAGAGATGGGTCTTTGGGGCATTGTTCACTCCTTCCTTTATAATCTGTTATGCACTTAATGCCCCTCCACATGCTCCGAGGGTCTTGTGAGATGAATTGACCCTCGATCCTCTTTGCATATGTGGCCTTGGCCCTCTTAATACCAGCTTAATAAACTCCTCACTCCTTTTAGCACTGATAGATTTGTTTATAAAAGTATATTAAGGAAATAACTTCTAACACAGATGCAGGTAAACAGGAAAGGATTGTTTCCTGGTGAGATAATCTTGTTTTATAAATGGACGATTATTGTGACACTTTAATTTCCAGTTCGGCACATTGACTGTAGACTTTAATCCTCTTGTTTAATCCACACAATTCCTGTCAGGATGTTTTTAATGACTTAAGGTAACACAATATGATATAAATTTACTTAAAGGTTTAGATCTTTGGATTTATTTGGATTAAATGTGATGGGGGGGGACTTCATTTGATCAGTTTTGAAAAATGAAACAATCAAATATATTAATAATGTAAAACAAAATTGGTTATATCAAAATTCATGCTCAATAATACAGGTTAAAAAAATCCAACAATGTTCAGTCAGGTCATCAGGACAAATTTTTTTTTAGAGACATTTTGTCCTTCATCCAAAGGACTTGGATGAAGAATGAAATGTCCCACATAAAAAGAAACTGTCCTGATGACCTGACTGAACAGTGTTGGACTTTTTACCTGGATTATTAAGCATGAACTTTGATGTTTTGAACCACTTTGGCTATGACTGCCTCAGAGGAATCAATGGGGGAGAGGGCGGGCCCAAGAAACCATCTTATCACCTGAAAACTGGTTGGTCCACTATGGGAGTGTGCTGCTTGTGGGACTCAGTTTGTGGGTCCTTGGACTGACTTTGGATAAAGGATGAAAAGTCTCAACAACAATAACAAAAAAGAAATTGTCCAGATTATTTGACTGAACGTTGTTGGAAATTTTATTACAGTTAAATAAAAATTTAATTGAATACAACATGTTTTGAAATGCAGATACATTAGAGGGGTTATTGCTTCTTATGACTTAATGACAAAAATAAGATGGGGAAAAATGTCATGTGACATGTTTAAAGTCTATAGTTTAAACAAACTATTGTAATAAAATAAAAATATCAATGTAAGAGATGTTTTTTATTTTATTTATTATTAAAAAGGGTTTTGAAAGAGCTTTATTGTTTTCAGAATACTGTTAATAGCCATAAATGAGGTCGGAACTTATTTTCTCGGTGTTCGTTTCGGCGAACAAAAAAAACCAGACGAACTACCAGTAGTTTCTGCGCTTGCGCAGAGTCAACACGTTAAACGCGATATTTTTCAGGTGGTTAACAACAAGACGATGGCAGAAGAGGAGGCAGGTCAAAACAAGGTCAGAGCTTAATATTTAGTCGTTCCTAAAAAATGAAGATGAAATTAGAGGAGGGAGGAGAGTGTTTGTCCTGAAGGAGAGACGCTGGAAGGAGGAAGTGAATGAATGCACCAAACAAACGAAAGAGGTAGGATTTGATATTGGTGGATCGCATAAACTGTACATTGACTGTAGCAACATGGCTTCTACATCAGGAGGAAATAGTGGAAACGAGATGGAATGGTTGATATCAAGATCAGCAAAAATGAAAAGAACACGTAGGAAGAGACAAGAAAGAACAAGAAGTTGGTCGGAAGAAAGTGAGTCAAGAGCAGAAGTTAGCAAAAAGACGAAACCAAACGAACGGGTGAGCTCAAGAGAACAGGATGAATCAGAAGTGGAATTTAAAGTAGTAGTGGAATTTAAGCAAGAAGGGGGATCTATACACCCAATAAAGATGACCAAAGCAATAGAGGAAGAAATAGGGAAAATTAAAACGGCTAGAATCATAAATAACAGAAGAGTGCTAATTCATGCTGTTAATGAGTCACAACAACAGAAGATAATCAAAATGAAAACGCTGATGGGGGAAATAATTAAAACCTATATTCCAGGATCTTTAGCAAGAAGAGGAGTAATATCAGGAGTTCCTTTAGAAATGACAATGGAGGATGTGAAAAAAGAAATCAAAGGAGGGAAAATAACAGATGCCATAAGGATTAAAAGTAAAAGAGACGGGGAACTTAAAGACACTATGATAGTGATTCTTCAATTTGAAAATATTAAGCCAGAAAATATCCAATTGGGATACATGAATTATAGAGTTAGAGAGTATATTCCTAGACCCATCAGATGTTTTATTTGCCAAAGAATGGGACGCATTGCAAAAGAATGTAAAGGTAAAGTTAGGTGTGCAAGATGTGGAGGCCCACATGAATACGGAAAATGTGATAAAGATGCTAAAATCAAATGTTGCAATTGTGGAGGAGAACATAGTGCAGCATATGGTGGATGTAAAATACAAAGGGAAGCCAGAGAAGCTCAAAGAATCAAAATAACCGAAAGAGTTTCATATGCTGAAGCTCTAAAAAGAGTAAGGAAAGACAGTACAAGAGGAATGAGGTCGGGAGAAACGGGTCAAAGAAACACAACTTGGAACATAAATCAAGGGCAGAATGATCAGCGACAAACATTGGTACCAACAACAAATATACAAAATGCATGTTTGAATAAATGTAGAGTAGATGAAAATACAATGGTGGTGAAAAAAGAAAACTTTGTAGCTTTTATGTGCCATATTGTTAATGTTACAGTACAAATGAAAAAGAAAAGTGATAAAATAAAAGCAATAGTAACAGCAGCAGGAAGATTTTTAGACATGAAAGAAATTCAAGCAGATCAGATTCATACCATTCTGAGCGCCACAGAAACAACAGAAAATGCTCAAGATTAGGATCCAAGCTTTTATTATGGTCTTACATATTCTTCAATGGAATGCCAGAAGTCTAATAGCCAATGGACAAGAATTTAAAAAGTTTGTTTATGAATTAGAAATAATCTCAGATATAATATGTGTTGGGCAGCACGGTGGCGCAACTGGTAGAGCTGCTGCCTCTCAGCGAACAGGTCCCTGGTTCAAACCCCGGTCCAGGTGCCTTCTGGGTGGAGTTTGCATGTCCTCTCCGTGCATGCGTGGGTTTTCTCCAGGTACTCTGGTTTCCTCCCACAGACCAAAAACATGCATGTTAAGCTGATTGGTAACTCTAAATTGTCCCTTGGTGTGAGTGAGAGAGTGAATGGTTGTTTGTCTCGTTTGTCTCTATGTGTCCCTGTGATGGACTTGCGACCTGTCCAGGGTGTACCCCGTCCCTCGCACAGCGATTGCTGGACATGGGCACCAGCAACCCCCGTGACCCAAAATGGAATAAACGGGTAAAGATAATGGATGGATGGATAATATGTGTTCAGGAAACATGGTTAAAACCTCAGCTGGATTTTAAGATACCTGGATACAGCATAGAAAGACAGGATAGAAGTAATGGTAGTGGAGGAGGATGTGCCACTCTAATTAAAGATGGAATAGCATATAAGAAAAACCCAATGAATAAAGAATTAGAATGTGTTAATATAGAAATATTTAAGAGAATATTAAAATAATAAATTTTTATAATCCATGCAAACATCTTGATAGTGAAATGTTTAAATAAATAGCAGGGAGACCACATAGAAGAGAACTGTGGTGTGGTGATTTTAATGCCCACAATAGTCTTTGGGGTAGCAAGAAGACAGATCATAATGGTAACATAATTGAAGAAATAATGGATGAAAGCTCATTAGTATGTCTTAATAATGGAAAAGGTACAAGAGTAAATATACATAAAAATACAGCCTCATGTCTTGATATTACATTAATATCCGATTGTCTTGTTAGTTCATGTGAATGGGATGTCAAATGGGAGTCTACATTAGGGAGCGATCACTTTCCAGTGAGTACAATAATTAATGAGAGTATAAACAGGCAAAAAGATTTTATTTTAACAAAATGGTGCTTTAATAAAGCTAACTGGCAAAAATTTAAAACAAACTGTGAGGAAACCAGACACATGGTAACATTAAAAGGCAACATTGAAGAATGTACAAGTCAAATAACAGAACATATTTTAAATGCTGTAAACTCTAGCATACCAAAAATAAAAATACAAGGTAAGAAAAAAGTAGTTCCTTGGTGGAACGATGAATGTACTACAGCAGTTAAAGAACGTAACAAGGCATTTAAAATATTACAGAAAAATTTAACAACTGAAAATCTTATTGAATATAAAAGAAAAAGAGCAACAGCTCGTAAAACTATTAAGGACGCAAAAAAGAAAACATGGAGAGAATATTGTTCTTCAATAGGTTCAGAAATAAAATTACAAAACGTTTGGTCAATGTTTAGGAAAATGACTGGGAAAAGGAATGATGTTAAAATACCAACCTTAATCAGAGGTCAGGAGATATTGGTGTTAAATAAAGATAAGGCAGATTTATTAGGCGAGACATTTGCTGCAGTTCATAGTGGTGAACATCTTACAGACATTCATAGACAGCAGAAGACTCAAAAACTTGGAAAGCATAAAAATATTTTGGAGAAATGTAAAAAATACATGACAACATTAGACATGGAAATAACCATGAAAGAACTTAAAACAGTATTGAAAGGGACAGGTTATTCAGCTCCAGGGGAGGATCAATTATGCTATGCTATGTTTCGACAGATTCCGGAAGTAACATTGAAATTAATATTAAAATTGTTTAATAAAATATGGAAAGAAGGTTTAATACCAAATAACTGGAAAAGGGCAACAATACTGCCGTTCAATAAACCAGGAAAAGATCCTATCAGTCCAAAAAATTATAGACCAATAGCTTTAACATCTCATTTAAGTAAATGGATGGAGAAAATAATGGTCAATAGATTAGGATATGTTCTTGAGCACAGGAAACTAATTAATGGATATCAGTGTGGCTTTAGAACAGGGAGATCAACAATGGATGCACTAACTAGAATCAGTAATGACAGAGAGAAAGCTTTAAAAATGAAGGAAATAATGATTATAATATTTTTTGATATAGAAAAAGCATATGATTCATTATGGAGAGAAGGATTACTTATAAAAATTAAGCAGATGGGAATAGGTGGGAAGATGTATAATTGGATAGCAAATTTCCTGATGGATAGAAAAATTAGAGTGAAGATTGGGAATGATTATTCAGAAGAATTTCATGTGGAAAATGGAATTCCTCAAGGTAGTGCAATCAGTCCAATTTTATTTAATATTATGATTAATGATATCTTTTCTGATAATGATAAATGTATAAAATCTGCACTATATGCAGATGATGGGGCCATATGGATGAGGGGCAAGAATATAAAACATGTCGTAGGAAAAATTAAGAAAGCAATTAGTAAAGTAGAAAAATGGTCTTATGAATGGGGTTTTAAATTATCAGCAAGCAAATCTTGTTTTATGGTTGTTACAAATAAGAGAAATATTGATATAGGAACATTAACATTATATGGACAACCTTTGGAAAGGGTAGCAGAATTTAAATATCTAGGACTATGGTTGGACAGTTCTTATACATGGAAAACACATATAGAAAACTTAGAAACAAAATGTAAGAAAGTTATAAATCTACTAAAAGCTGTGGCTGGAAATGATTGGGGTGCAGATAGACAGTCACTATTAAACATATACAGGGCTCTCATGAGATCAATAATAGATTATGGCAGTTTTATATACGGAGCAGCAGCAAAAACATCATTACAAAAGATAGATAGGTTACAGAGTAGGGCTTTACGTGTATGTACAGGAGCAGTGAAAACGACACCTGTTAATGCTCTTTTAATAGAGACTGGAGAGACCCCACTGGAAATGAGAAGAATAAAATTAGCTCTAGTATATTGGGTGAAAATTAAAAGTAGTAAGGAAGATAATGCAACTACAACAATTTTACAAAACTGTTGGGAATACTCAACATTCCAGAGTAATGGATTTGGATGGACTGTAAACAAGTTGATTAAAATGTATGGATTAGAGGATAAGGAAATAGCACAGTTTAATCCGATTAGTGTTATTCCTCCATGGCTATTTCCTGAGGTAAATGTGGACATGAAACTTCTTAAAATGAAAAATGACTGGAATTTAAATGAAATAGGGGTAAAGACAGACATATATTTAAGAAACTCATATTCTAACTACCTTAAAATATATTCAGATGGTTCTAAGAATTTAAAAGGATGTGTGGGAATAGGAATATATACAAGAATTTAAAATGTACATTTCTAAAAGATTATCAGATCAACTATGTGTCTTTACAGCAGAAATGGTAGCGGTTATGCTGAGCTTACAATGGGTGGAGGAGGTTAGACCAGACAGGGTGGTGGTGTGCACGGATTCCAAAGCAGTTATAGAAAGTATTCAGGGTGAAGGAAATAATAGGAAAGAGTTAGTATTAGAAATTCATCATTGTTTATTTAGACTATACAGGGGTGGCATTGATGTTTGGTTCTGTTGGGTACCAGCACACGAAGGTGTAAAGGGCAATGAAAAGGCAGATAAACTAGCAAAAAGGGCGCTAGAGGGGGGAATAACAATTACAATCCCTTTTGGGAAAGGGGAAGGGAAATCACTTATTAAAAGTAAAGAAATAGAAAAATGGAATGAAGATAAGAAAGGAAGAAGTTTATATAATGTACAAAAGTCAGTATTAATTAGAAAAATTACTGAGAAAAACAGAAGGGAAGAAATAATGTTCAGATTAAGAGTAGGTCATACCTATTTAAATGATAATTTATATTTAATAGGGAGAAAACAGAATGATAAATGTGAAGGGTGTGGAGAGAAAGAAAATGTAGAGCACATATTGATGAACTGTAAAACGTATGAACCTGAAAGGGAGAAACTGAGAAGAATGGTTAGAAGGACAGGTCAAGAATGGAGTCTTAAAGGAATATTGGGAAATGAAGGAAACATAATGGATATTTACAGAATAAGAAAAGCATTATTTACTTTTCTGCAAAATACTAGGTTAAAAAATAGAATTTAATAGATGTGAAGTAGTGTTGCTACACACTCGTGTACAGTAGGTGGCGGTATGCACCTTAAATTTGCTTGCGATCCACCATAATAGAAAAGAAGAAGAAGATGGAAATTATCTTCGTAGCTTCTAATTTTATTGAGCTAACCAGTAAATTAGCTTAATCTTCTGTTATGTACTTTCAGCAAAGTATCTCATTACGTTGTTGCTTCATTAATGTCAAACTAAAATAGTGGCTTTTCAATTATTAGAAGCTTCATTAAAGAAAGGAGGAGTATTACCACAAGTCATTTAACCTTCATCACGTAACCTTCACTAAGTGTGTTTATAATTGTCCCGTCATTTTGCATTCAAATCATTATGCCATATCCAGGCTTTCATTAAATTATATGGTTGTATATTGACCTGCATTGGACACATACACTTATTTTATTGCCTTATTGTACAGAAGTTATGCTGGTTTCCTTGTGTCCAGGTAAAACGTGAAGTCCTACGTCTTTAAAATATATAAAACAATGTAAAAAAGAAAAAGGCCTGAGCTTCCAAGTGGTAGTTCTTTTGCATCTTTTTGGTCCTAAAACACTGGTGTATTTATGTATGTCAGTCAGTTTTATTTAAGAATAGAAATGAATTGTCTCAGGAGAAATGTAATAGCTGTGAACCTAAACCAGGCCAACAAAATGCTTGTTCATTCTGTCACCCCTGTGTATTTAATTTTGTAATTCATTTATTTAATATTGATGAGGCTGCATTTTGTATAGGATCAATTAGATGCATAATTATATAAACAAATATACATTAACAAAATTGACTTTGTTTAATAACATTTACACTGTTAAATATGACCATTAGGTAGGAGAAAATATGTTACACACTCAAATGTTTTATAGGAAGATGTGTATAATAAATTGATGCACTGTATTAAAATGTCTCAGTGTGAGACATGAAGCATTAAAGGCTCTCTGTCCTTCTTGTATGTGTCTCCTTCGGGGTTTCAAGTTAGGGATCCTGGATGTCCACAGGATACCATGTGCCAGAGAAGCCATCCTGCATGGAGCTGGAGGCTCTGCAGCTGCTGGACTTCTTTACTTTCTGACCACCAGTGAGTCTTATTTGAAATAAAAGTTTTGTCTTGTTTTATTTTTGCTAATGTTTATGCATTTTTAACTACCAGTAACTCTATTTGAAGATAACACATATATAAATATTTATATATCAAAGTAAAACCATACTGTACAAAAAGTAAAGTCAAGTCACATTTATTTATATAGCACATTTAAAACAGTAACTGTTATCAAAGTGCTCACCAAAAAAGACCACAGCATCAAATATTAATAACAAGATATTACAGCAACATGAATAGAAGCATAAAAACATGAAATATAATGAGAAACAATAAAATACTAAATCAAATCACCCTGCGTTAAATGTCAGGGAGTAAAAGCAAAATGGATGAACACAATCATCAACAACGAAATACCAAATTAAATCACGCTGTGTTAAATGCCAATGAGTACAGATGTGTTTTGAGGAGAGATTTAAAAATAGAGACTGAGGTGGCCTGTCGAATGTTGATGGGCAGATTGTTCCAGAGTTTAGGGCCCATGACTGAAAACGCCCGATCTCCTCTGAGCTTCAGCCTGGTTTTTGGTACGGCCAAAAGCAGCTGGTCTGATGATCTCAAAGCCCGAGAAGGAGTATAAGGATGAAGGAGGTCAGAGAGGTATGAGGGTGCAAGGTCATTAACACACTTAAATGTCAGCAGAAGATTCTTCAAATCAACTCTGACACGCACAGGAAGCCAGTGAAGAGAGGACAGAACTGGAGTAATGTGCTCAAACCTGCGAGTTCCTGTTAGTAGCCGAGCTGCAGCATTTTGGACAAGCTGGAGACGTGAGAGAGAGACCTGACTGACCCCAGCATAAAGCGAGTTACAGTAGTCCAGCCGGGTTGTAATAAATGCATGGACTCATTTTTCAAGGTCGGATCTGGACAAGACGAACTTAAGCTTAGCTATCTGCCTTAGCTGAAAGAAGCTTTTTTGAAGAACAGAATTTATCTGCTTATTGGATCGACCAGTTTGCTGCTGACAACCAAAATGTGATCAGCTGGTTTTGGTTGTCAGCAGCAAACTGGTTGATCCACTCTGAGAAGGTGCTATTTATAAGACTGAGCTGAATACAGCAGCTCAGACTGAGGAAGTCTTTCGGATGAAAGATGAAATGTTTCTACATTTTTTTTGTTATTTTGCTTTGTTTTGTTTTTTGAATGTCCAGAGGACCAGATTTAACTTTTTTAGATTTTCCCTTTAAGGTTTATCACAAAGTTCTTCTAAACAGCGTAGCTAGTGAACAGTTTTTGTTCCAGGACAGCTTTGGCTCTTGTTTTTTAATGTGTGTATTAACGTCACACATCACCAACTAGAAAAATAAATGTTGTTTACTTTGTAAAACTTTCTTTAAACTATCCACAAAAACAGATTTGACATTTACCCTCGTTTATGGCGGGTGTTAGGTTCCAGCCCACCACCACCACCCACGTGCGATAAGTGAAAAATTGCGAAGGGAAGGTATACCATTTATTTTAGTATTTATACTATATATATATATGTATATATAATATATATGTATTTATATATACATATATACATATGTATATATACATATACATATATATATATACATATATGTATATATGTATATATAATAAGTTTAACTTACTAATAACTCATCAACACCATCATTATTCCAATAACAACACATTCAGTGTAGGACAACACTCCAGTAGTCAATTACATGCCAGGGAAACAGAAAAGTGGGTGAAGAATTTATCTGACAGACAGCTCACCCAGCCGGAGACAGAGATTCTTGCCAGGGAACTGAACTTTACGGTTGCACCAAGTAGAATTCCTCTGGTGGAGATGATCACAGCCACAGAATCAGCCATCCGCAACAACAAAATGAAAGAGGGTGAAGCAGAACAACTCAGAATCAAAGTTTCATCCTGCCTCAGCAATGCCAAACCTAAACCTTCCAACATCAGTAGAGAGGAGAGGGACACACTCACCACTCTTAGCAAGGACAAAAACATCATCATTCTCCCAGCAGACAAAGGAAGGTGCACAGTGATTTTGAACCATAAAGACTATCATGAGAAAGTTATGACACTCCTTAGTGACTTAACCACTTATGAACCTCTGAAAAGAGATCCAGGAAGTGGTTACAAGAAGAAGTTAATAGATTGCCTGAAAAATTTGGAGCAGGACAAGGCTATTGACCGTTTTCTGTACCACAGACTGTACCCAGGGGAGGCCACACCTAGTCTGTATGTTTACCTAAAATCCACAAACAAGGTGTACCTTTAAGACCAATTGTTAGCATGATTAACTCTGTCACTTACAATGTTTCCAAATATCTGGCGTCTGTACTCATCCCTTTAGTTGGCAGCTCAGAACACCACATACAGAACACCATGGACTTTGTGGATAAGGTGAGGGATGTCATCATGGAGACTGATGAAACAATGGTCTCTTTTGATGTCACATCACTCTTTACGTGCATTCCTGTTGATGATGCAGTAGAGGTGGTCAGTTTAAGATTAAAATCAGACACCACTCTGAGCAGCAGGACCACGCTTTCCACAGAACAACTGTGTCAACTCTTGAAACTGTGCCTGCAGTCAACCTACTTCACATATGGGGAGCAGTATTACAGGCAGAAACATGGGTGTGCTATGGGGTCTCCAGTTTCTCCTATTGTTGCCAACCTGTACATGGAGGAGGTAGAAAAGAGAGCCTTGACGTCCTTTTCAGGGACACCACCAAGTCATTGGTTCACATATGTTGACGACACCTGGGTTAAAATTAAATCTCAGGAAGTCCAACATTTTACTGACCACATCAACTCTGTGGATAAATACATCAAGTTCACACGAGAAGATGTAAAAAAATTGCAAGTTGGCTTTCTTGGACTGTGAGGTCTCAGTCTCTGATAGAGGACATTTGCAAACCGAGGTGTACCGCAAACCCACCCACACAGACCAGTATTTGCAGTTTGACTCCCATCACCCTTTGGAGCACAAGTTAGGAGTCATCAGGACTCTGTACCACAGAGCAGACAGCATCCCCACTAACTCGGGAGCCAGGCAGAAGGAGAAATCCTACACAAAACAGGCTCTAGAGCAATATGGATATCCTAACTGGGCCTTCCTGAAAGCAGAGAAGAAACCCAAACAGGACTCCAGTCAGCCATCAGGTGAAAAGGAGGAACCCAGACCAGTGGTCATTCCGTATGTTGAGGGAGTATCAGAGAAACTGAGACGTTTATTTTCTAAACAAAACGTCCCAGTGGCTTTTAAACCCCAAAATACATTACAGCAAAGACTGGTTCATCCCAAAGATCCAGTCCCCAGGCACAAACAGAGTAATATTGTGTATGCTGTTTAGTGTCAGGAGGGCTGTGATCAGTCTTACATCGGGGAAACAAAACAGCCACTGGCCAAAAGGATGGCTCAGCACAGAAGATCAACATCATTAGGCCAGGACTCTGTGGTCTACACTCATCTCCAGGCCAGCGGTCACTCTTTCAAGGATGAAGATGTTCACATCCTGGACAGAGAGGAACGATGGTTTGAGAGAGGAGTAAAGGAGGCCATCTTTGTGAAAAGAAATCGTCCATCATTAAACATGGGTGGAGGCCTCCGGATTCAACTGTCCCCCTCTTACAATGCTGTGATTGCTAGTATCACTCATCCCTCTGTGAATAGTAAACAGCCATCAGTGTGCTAATGATCCATTGTTAGACTGATGGTCCTTCTTGAGCATGTGATCAGCTGGTTTTGGTTGTCAGTAGCAAACTAGTTGATCCACTCTGAGAAGGTGCTATTTAAGAGACTGAGCTGAAAACAGCACCTCAGACTGAGGAAGTCTCTTGGATGAGAGACGAAACATTTCTATATTTTTTTGCTTTGTTTTGTTTTTTGTTTTTTTGAATGTCCAGAGGACCAGATTAAACTTTTTTGGATTTTTCTACCTGGATTATTGAGCATGCATCAGGATATACTGTATATACTTTAAGGCTTTATAAACCCTTACCACACTCTTGCAATGTTTTAAACTCATCCATCCATTATCTTTCACCCGCTTCTTCCATTTTGGGTCATGGGGGTCGGCGGTGCTCATGTCCAGCACTCACTGTGCGAGGGACGGGGTACACCCTGGACAGGTTGCAAGTCCATCACAGGGACACAAAGAGAAACATAGCATTACCAATCAGCCTAACACACATGTTGTTGGTCTGTGGGAGGAAACTGGAGTACCTGGAGAAAACCCATGCATGCACGGAGAGAACATGCAAACTCCACTCAGAAAGGCCTCCGGACCAGGATTTGAACCAGGGATCTGCCTGAAGGCAGCCTAACATGCATGTTTTTGGTCTGTGGGAGGAAACCGGAGTATCCATAGAAAACCCACACAAGCACGAGAAGAACATGCGAACTGCACACAGAAAGACCCCAGCTCCGCGGGGGTTGAACCCAGGACCTTCTTGCTGTGAGGCAACAATGCTAACCACTGAGCCGTCGTGCTGTCTTGGTGGCCTCTTTCACTCTTCTCCATGTCACTCAGTTTGTGAGGACAACCTGCTCTTGGTAGATTAACACATGTCCTATATTCCCTCCTGGAATGTTTAGGTTCTTAAAATGCTGACTTGTACTTTTCCATAATCTTATCTCTGAGTTGAATTAGGGCAGTCATAAAAAGGGGTGAATATTTATGCAGTCAGTTGTTTTACATTACATATTCTTTTTTAATTGCCATTACTTTGTAGAGATTTGATTTCACTTTGTCATTGAAAAATTTTTGTCCAAAAAAGCCCATTTATATTGACCTTGACTGATTTTTACTGGGTAATGAAAGGTTAATATCCAGGGGGGTGAATATATTTTGTAGGCACTGTATTTATCACCTGGTAAGGCCCAGATTATGTTTTATATTATTTAGTCATGTTTATGTTTTTCAAGATCATTTGTTTTTGTGTTGAACTCACAGCAGCCGTCTCTTCTGTTGTCCAGGTCGAGTGAAGATGTCTTTTCACGTTGGGTTTGCTGGTTTTCTGCTCACCACTCTGGGCTCCTGGTACATCCTAATTATATTTTTGCAATAAAGTCAAACCGTGTTTACTATTTTTGCCACCCTTCTTTATCCTCTTTCCTTTGCATTGTTTTCTCTCCACTTCTGTTGTAACAAAAATGTCTCTGTTTTCAGGTTTTACTGCAGGATAAACTACACTATGCTCTGTATGCAGCAGAAGTTAATACAGGAAGGCATCAAGAACAAGATTGTGTATGAAGGAACTGTTAAAGACCCTATAATCAAAGCCCGAGCAGAAACTCCTTCAGGCTCCACATGATGTCCTGTAATGAAACTCCTCTCTCATAAACAGACATGTTTAATGGGACAAGAAAGGACAGAGTCAGCTGACAACCGGTAGTTTTTCTGTGTTGTTGCTGAACAATATGGAATTTAATTGGATTCTTATTTGCCTAAAGCAATAATTCAATAAAAAATACTTAAGATGAATGAAGTTGAACAGTTTTAAGAAAATAAAAATATATATAAATCTGAAAAGTGGTATGTTCACATGTATTCAGCCAACTCACTTTGAAGAACCTAACATTACCATCAAAAGCCACATGATTTTGTTACATAAGGTCTGTGAGCAATTAAAGTTTCAAATGATCTAAACATGAGAAATGGTGTAACAAGCATGGTGAATCAACACCAGTGCAACACCTCTAAGTAATAAAGGCTACCAATACCATACCACTTTATTTATAAAGCACTTAAAACAGCGACAAGGCCAACCAAAGTGCTGTACAGACAAAACAACAGGTAACACACAAAGCAAAATACAAAATGAGGTAAATCAGAATATAGACATAAAAACGATGCAGATAATGACGACTAACCAGTGTGGAGCATACAGGATCAAAACACAGATCATCTGGTGTTGAAAGCCACCGAATAGTAGTGGGTTTTTAAATGGGACTTAAAAACCGAGAGGGAGGGGGCCTGTCTGACAAGCAGAGGTAACTCGTTCCAGAGTCTTGGTCCTGCCACAGAGAAGGCCCTGTCACCTCTGCACTTAAGACGAGATCCTGGAACTGAGGAGCAACTGGTCCGCTGACTTCAGGGAACGTGGTGGGACATACGGTTGTAGAAGATCAGAGAGATGGGGGGGAGGGCGACACTGTTCAGTGATTTGTAGACATACATGAGTATTTTGAACTGGATTCGAAAGTGGACCAGTAACCAGTTCAGTGAGGCCAAAACTGGTGTAATGTGCTCTCTTTTGCCTGTACTGGTCAAAAATTGGGCTGCTGCATTCTGGACCAGTTGTAGTCGTGCAATGGAGGTCTGACTGAGCGAATTGCAGTAATCAAGCCTAGATGTAATGAATGCATGTATTACTGTCTCCAGATTATTTTTGGACAATATGGGCTTAAGTTTAGACAGTCGCCTCAGTTGGAAGAAGCATGATTTAACAATCATGTTTACAACTCTGCTGGTGTATGACAGACAACAACTTTTGAATCTTCGTTTTTCTGGCACTGAAGTCGCTTATTTGGACCATTATCAGCGTACCTCTGCCCCCCCCCTCCCCCCCCTGCTGGCGGACGTGCCAGCTTACATTCGCTGTGCTCCTCACCTCCCTGCCCAGAGATCTCGCTTCAGACGCCAGGGAAAACGTGCTGGTCAGCTGGTGAAGCTGAAAGCTCTGCGCGCTGCATCTTCCTCTCCAGCTAGCGGTCATGGTTTCCATCGCCAGCTTCCTGTGTGCCCGGACCAGGTAACCAGCGGGAGTTGTCAGCCGTTGCGCAGCTCGGACCGACCTGGAGGGGCTGTTATTGAAAACCTGCGGCCATTAGCACGCGCTAACTCCACTGCTGCTAGCTCCACTTTGGACAGTATCCAGATGTGTTTGGTCAACACAAGATCTGTTTCCAACAAAATTTTATCGTCAGGGACTACTTTCAAAAGCACGATCTGGACTTTTTCTGCATCACAGAGACTTGGATGTCTCCAGGTGAGTCTAGTGCCTTGACGGAATTACTGCCTCCGAACTGTCTGTATTTTAACGCCCAACGGCCATCAGGCCAGCGCAGTGGTGGATTATTAACAATATTCAAATCAACTTTTGACTGTAAACAACTGCCCATCCCAGTTTCCCATGCCAGCTTTGAGCTGAGCGTCTTTGAACTCGGACATTCACCTGCGACGTTATTTGCACTTGTCTACCGCCCACCTGGGTCTAAGGATTTCATAAATGAGTTTTCTGACTTCTTGGCTGAAATCACACCAAAATTTGAGCATGTTTTCATTATTGGTGACTTTAATTTGCACGTGTGCTGTCCTGAGAAGCCCTTGGTTAAGGACTTTTTAGATTTATTGGACTCATTTAATTTAACTCAGCATGTAAACGGTCCCACCCAAGAGCGTGAACATACACTGGACCTTGCTTTAACTCATGATGTGACTGTTAATCTTGTTATTGGTGATAATGTTTTTTCAGACCACATGCCAGTCTGGTTTGAGTTCACCCTCTCCCATCTAACTCCTAAGTCGTGCATTTTTGCACGTAGGACTCGGACCATTAACCACTTCACTGCCACACGTTTCACAGATGTTTATAATTCTGAAATGATAATTCAGGCCCCAGTGTTTCTCACCACCACTGAGGAACTGACATCCCAGTTCAACTCTGTCTGCTTAAAGATTATGGATCATGTCGCACCTGTTAAAACCAACAAATCAAAAATCAAAGCAGAACCTTGGCTGAGTGACGTCACCAAGGCCGATAGGCAGCAATGTAGGAGGGCGGAACGAAAGTGGAGGAAAGACAGGCTGCAGGTCTCTTTTCAAATACTTAAAGAGAGTTGGCGCCGTTATCAGAAAACAGTAAAAGCTGCTAAATCAAAATTCTTCTCTGATATAATTACCTCAAACTCTCACAACCCACGTGTCCTCTTCTCCACCCTAAACTCTGTTCTCCACCTCACTGAACCATCACCTCTGGAAGCCTCGACTGAGCTGTGCGACCACTTCCTACATTCTTTTTGGAAAAAATTGCAACCACCAGGGCTCTCATTTCCCTTCCAACTCATGACCCATCCATCTCACCTCAATCTGTAGCTCCTTTTGACCATTTTGAACCCATCACTCTATCTTCTCTAGAGCAGGTCATGTGCAACTTGAAACCTTCTGGCTCCCCCTTTGATGTGATCCCCTCTCGACTACTAAAGGAGGTGATTCCAACTCAGGTCTGTCCATTCTTGCCATAGTAAACAGTAGTTTATCCACTGGCGTGGTGCCAAAATCCTTTAAACATGCTGCTGTCCAGCCTCTCCTGAAAAAACCAAACCTTGACCCCTCAGTCATTTCCAACTACCGGCCTGTCTCCAAACTCCCATTTGTTTCTAAAGTACTGGAGAAAATAGTCGAGTCCCAGTGGAAGTGCTTCCTGGAGGATCACGCCATCGTAGAGCTATTCCAATCTGGCTTTAAACCTGTCCACAGCACTTAAACTGCCCTGCTGAAGGTCTTTAACGACATCTTTAGATTCACAGATACCGGTGATTCTGTGCTGCTTGTCCTGTTGGACCTCACAGCCGCCTTTGACACCATCCACCATGAGATCCTCATTGCTAGGTTGGAGCAGTGGGTGGGCGTCACAGGATCAACCCTCAATTGGTTCAAATCTTACCTCACTGACTGATCCTTTTGTGTCTCTGTAGTAGTCACGTAGGTACGTGCCACTAGTTGTAGTATGACAATATATCCCCGTATATATGCATACAATATTCACGAGTTCCTCATCTTTCTGACTGTGTAATGTCGTGCATTGAATTTAACAGAAATGTAACGAGAGACGTCATTTATCTTTGACCCATCAAATCAATGCGGTCATTTATTTTCAGAATCAAAGTTTTAACATCAAACATTTACATTAATTTGGCAAAATATGAAAATAATAACAGACAAGTTTCACAGAAAAGGGACATCGATCACTCGGCGGTGAACGAGGACTTTGCTTCAGATATTTCTAAAATATCTGTACTGATTTTATGAGAGAGAGGAGAGTTTTAAGATGAAATGGAGTTATCTTACAGAGAGATATGTGAGGGAATTAATCTGTTATGACAGAACGTGCACGCTCCATCAGATCTCAGCTTGCTTCCGGTACACTTTAGTCGAAGAAGAAACTGTTACCTGGTTGACGATGACTCAATGTCGGTATAGAATCCTTCAGACTTTTCAGCGTCTCCGTTGAGAGCAGCTGAAATCCTTCGAGAGTCGTGCGTGGTGTTCAAACAGAAATTATAATTCCAAAACGTCTCTGGATCATCCTGAACGCGTTTGCACCCAAGAATTCTGAACTCCTTTCATTCTTCAGAACTTCTCAGACTCTTAATTGTCAGCCACTCTGTAGTTCTTCATCTCCTCAGGCTCTCCAGCTTCTGGAATTCTCTGGAATTCTACTGAATTCTTTTCCATTCTGAATTCTAACATGAACTGGGAAGTTGCTACATTTTAAAAGGGTCGACTTCCGGTTCATTTGAGAGCTTTCTGATTCGTGGATGGACCAGAAAGAGGTGTGTTTTTGTGACGTAAGATGTTATCTAAGCCAAGGTCAGAGAATGAGATTGTTCAACAACTGACAGAGAGATTATTGCAGAAAAGCAGACTTCGTGGAGTCTCACACTTGGTAATCTTCTGAAAAAGTTTAAACATGACATCTTTCTCGGTAAACATTTTAGTTGACCGAAAACCGACCTTTCACATACTTACAAAACTTGGCTCATTTCAGACAGAAAATCAAGAAATGCATATTAACCTGATTTCTTCTTTGAATGAGGAATAAAAATCATTACTTACTGTTTATGTAAAATAAAAATGAGTAGTTCTTTTCAACCTGTAACATTGAGTGGAACTAACACAATTTGATTATTAAACATTTGTAAAACAGTAATGATTATAGAGAATTGTCTTTTCTGCTTGATTAATTCAAGAAAGAAAGTCACCAGATGGCTCAGACTGTATTCAGATCAATGAAATAACAGTCCCTGTCCATCTGATAGATTTGAGGTCATCAGGGTCAGACCAGGTTCACTACAGTCCCCCCTTTGGAAATCATCACCTGTCCATGGGGATGAATTCCAACCGTGAACTTAGACCTTCAAATGTCCTTGAGCTTGATGTAATCCAGCAAGGAAGACCAAAGTCAAAAGTAATCCAGCAAGGAAGACCAAAGTCAGAAGTAATTCCACAATGTTCTTGGTATTCCATTGTGTTGATTATAATCCCATATCGTCTCGATAATTCCATTGTAGCAATGCTTTAACCCCTTGGAAACAGAGTCTGTAATCCATTGGAAAAAGTCATATAATCCACAACGGTAAATCCACAGCGATTGGAAGTGTTGATTAATCAGCATACAGAGGGGTACCCTTGGGTTGAACTGAAGAAGCGGCCACTGGATGAAGAGTGGAGACCAACGTCAGGATTGCAGGTCGCCTCCAGCGAA